GCATTGTTTGTACATCAGAACATTTTAACAAAGAGTCTGTACCTTTTTCAGAGTCTTCCAATGCCTATTGGAATAGATGTGAATCCTTGAATATTGAGCTAGAAGACAAATGAGGTCGTAGACTCCATACTGTACTATTCTCAGAATTTCCCCTGTGTCCAAATGCAAAGGATTAACAGCTTTAGTCTTGGCATTTGAAGATTTCTACACAACTCGTTTTGCTTACTCTCCCCAACACCATAATTTCTGAGAAGTTTAGGACTTCCAAACTTAGTAAAGATATGGGCAGTGGACCTGTCGGTTTTTCAAGTTAAAGATGTTTCTATTTCTTATAAATAGCCAATGTGGGTTATGAAGAAAGTTGTACTGTACTTTCTACTTCTGCTAACAGGAGAAGCTTTTAACCAACCTTCTTTATTACTGAATTGACTTAAACTGAAAAATAGAATTTCAAGTGTTGTCCTCTCTTGATATGCAAGTGAAAGTTCAACTCTTTTGGTTTCCCATATAAAATTTTATATATATTTCATTTAAATGAGAAAATAATTTTATGTAGTCACACACAGCTCAACTTCAGCCTTGTCGTTACCCAAATTGCCATAAGTCATAATTATGGTCTGTGAATAAACACTAAGTTGAGGAATGTGATTTTTGAATTTTCTAGTTTGCTGTATAGGTTGATGAGTTTTGATTCTCTATCAGAAAATATGCATATTTCATCACATAATTTATTCCTTACTTACAATGAAATATTAACTCATTTGTGTGTCCTAAATCACATACCTTCTCTTATATAGAAACTTCTGTACATATGAATATTTTTACAGTATAAATCACCTGTTATACTTAGTACTTATTCATTCATTTCACACTCTGAAATTACTATATATTATTCTATTTTTCATAGTGATATTCATGTTAAGTAATAGTAGCAATGGCAGTGGTAAGGTAATGAGTAAATGTGCCCTTAAAATAGTCCTGAGTTAGGTACTTTAACATACCCATTTTATAGCTGGTAAGCTAGTGAGCTGAGAAGTTAGAATAGTTAAATAGGCAGTGAGATTCCAGGATTCATATTTTAAGCTAAAATATGTAAAATAAATGAGTTAACTGATTTTTTAAAAATTTATTTGGCAGGCAGAATTAGACAGTGAGAGAGAGAGAGAGAGAGAGAGAGAGAGAGAGAGGTCTTCCTTCCGTTGGTTCACCTCCCAAATGGCCGCTACAGCCGGAGCTATGCCGATTGGAAGCCAGGAGCCAGGTGCTTCTTCCTGGTCTTCCATGTGGGTTCAGGGGCCCAAGGACTTGGGCCATCCTCCACTGCCTTCGTGGGCCACAGTGGAGAGCTGGACAGGAAGAGGAGCAGCCGGGACTAGAACCGGCGCCCATATGGAATGCCGGCGCCGCAGGCAGAGGATTAACCTAGTGAGCCACGGCGCCGGCCCCCCTGATTTTTTTCAAACGACCATTTTAGACCTTACCTATCCAAGCGAGAATGGTGCAGTTTAAAATGCAGTATATTTTAGTTTTTAAAATGTGTACCTATAATAATTCTGATATAAGCCTCATGAAACTAACTGAATGTAATTCTAAAGAACACTGCTTTGGGAATATTTGGAGTAATGGCAGCCTCATTAAAATTACTTCCAAGGTGACAATACTGAAAGATAACAATTAGGTGAAATGAAAAATCATTTAGTCTAATATCTTTTTCTCTACTGCTTGGTGATAGTGATCTGCATCCTCTCTAGAGTACAGTCATACTTACTCAAAGTTCACTAGCTCTCCCATTCCACAGTTGTGTAGGCAGCCAGCACCAGGTATCAGGTGATCCTTTGTTTCATCTTATACTTTACACTTTACTTGCACTTTTCACTGCAAGAGAGTTTGCTATCATTATTACAGTCTGTTTCCTTAAAACTCTTTTCAGCTTCATCTTTCTATCATTTTCCATCACTTTCCACCATGTACTTCTATCTGTTGCCATCCTTGGAATTGCCATTCTTTTATTCAAACTACTGTGTGTGCTTTGTCCTGCACATCTGTATACACCACTGCAGTACAGCACTACAATTGTGAGCAGATTCTAGAGCTAGTCTGTGTAGTTACTATGCTACCTGCTGGCTCTGACACTTCTCTGTGCCTCAGTTTCTTCATTATGGAAAGAAAGTACTCTTAGTGGTATTACCCTAAAAAGCAGCTATGAGGATTCAGCATCTGACATGTTTGGAATAAGTATTATCTGTTTTATTCATCATCATTTTATTTTTATTTATTTATGTTATGTATTTATTTGAATGCAGAGATGGAGTGAGAGAGAAGGAGAGAGAGAAGGAGAGAGAGAGAGAGAGAGAGAGAGAGAGAATGAATGAACCTTGCATCTGCTGGTTCACTCCCCAAATAGCTGCAAGGGTGAGGGCTGGACCAGGTCGAAGCCAGGAGCTTCTTCCAGGTCTCCCGAGTGGGTGCAGGAGCCCAGGAACTTGGGCCATCCTCTGCTTTCCCAGGCATTTTGGAAGGGAACTGGATTGGATGTGGAACAGCTGGGACTGGAACTGGTGCCCATATTGGATGCTGGCACTACAGGGAGAGGCTTAAACATTCGATGCCACCGTGCTGGTCCCAATCATCATCATTTAATCATTAAACTACTGAGATTCTGTGCTTCTTTGGAGACCCATAATATTTTACAATGTCTTTAGCTTTCTCCCAGCCCTAGTGTAGGTAGGATTGGGCCCTTCTATGCTGCTACATTTTTTTATACTGAAGTTTCGATTCTTTTTTTTTTTTTCTTTTAAAGATTTTATTTATTTATTTGAGAGGTAGAGTTACAGACAGTGAGAGGGAGAGACAGAGAGAGGAAGGTCTTCCATCCACTGATTCACTCCCCAAATGGCTTTTTTTTTCTGCAACGGCAGGAGCCAGGTGCTTCTTCCTGGTCTCCTGTGTGGGTGCAGGGGCCAAGCACTTGGGCCATCTTCTACTGCTTTCCCAGGCCACAGCAGAGAGCTGGATTGGAAGAGGAGCAGCCGGGACTAGAACCAGTGCCCATATGGGATGCTGGCGCCGCAGGTGGAGGATTAACCTATGCCATGGCACCGGCCCCTGAAGTTTTGATTCTTAACACAGTGTGACTTGTTAGTTGAACATACATGTTTATTGATAATTGTAGGTGCACTGAGGTCAAATGTAAAGGTGCAGGAAGGGCCAAGGAAGTTTGTATTATATCTAAAATTATTTTTGAATTATCACGCATGAATAGTATAGGAAATATTTTTTTTGAAGATTTATTTATTTACTTGAAAGTCAGAGTTACACAGAGAAGGAGAGGGAGAGAGAGAGAGAGGTCTTCCATCTGCTGGTTCACTCCCCAATTGGCCAAAATGGCCAGAGCTGTACCTATCTGAAGCCAGGAGCCCGGAGCTTCTTCTTGGTCTCCACGTGGGTCTTGAGGACCCACATGAGGACTTCGGCCATCTTCTACTGCTCTCCCAGGCCATAGCACAGCTGGATCAGAAGTGGAGCAGCCAGGACTGGAGCTGGCGCCCATATGGGATGCCGGCACTGCAAGCAGCGGCTTTACCTGTTTTGTCATAGTGCCAGTGCTGGAAATATTTTTCATCCCTCCTAATATTAAAGAAGCTGAAAACGTTTCCTCCAATGAAAGTTGTCTTAAAATACCTCTTAAACTTTATTATTCTGAAGTTTATTGTAAAGAGAATTTTAGCTTAAAAAGAAAATGCCCATAATTTAAATTTATGTATGTGAAGCTGGTGAAATGGCACAGCAAGTAAGCTGCTATTTGTGAAACCTACTGGATATTGGAGTGCTGCTTTGAATTCTGTCTGCTTTGCTTCCTATCCAGCTTCTATCTAATCTGCCTGGGAAGGCGATAGAAGACTGGTTAAGTACTCTAGACTGATGCCATCATGTGGGAGACTGGGAGGGAGTTCTTGGCTCCTAGGTTCAGCCAGGCCCAGACCTGGCTATTGAGGCCTTTAGGAGAGTGAACAAATGGAAGGAACATTCTCTTCCCCTTTCTCTCTCCCTCTCACTGTCACTTTGCTTTTCAGCTAAGTCAATAAATTGCTAAGTGTATTACTAATATATAGTACCATATGTATTTCTAAGCAAACATTTGAAAATTGTGTAAATTTCCTTCAAATATATGGAAAATATTGACTTTTTTTCTTTTCTATTTAGACTGGTCTTTTCCCCAACCATTCTATATTGATAATGTTCTACTTGTTAAAGAAAAAAAAAGATGTTAATAGTATCCATTACTAACCTCTACTATTAAAATGGGAGGAAATAGAATATGCATATTTTTACTAGTCTAGTTATTTAAAAAAATGTAGTTAGAATAGATGATCTGGATCCATCATAACTGCAGATTAACAAACTAGTCTGAATGCTAATGTGTTTTCACACCATTTACTTTTGAGTAATTGTATTTCTTACAATAGTAACTATATATCATTTACCTTGCAAATTCCCCTTTAATTAGCCTGTTTATATGTAAGAGATTATAAATATTTGCTTTATATATAAAATATGCACCACAAAATGTCCTTGAACTTAACAACTACTTAACAGATTTTTCTTTTCCTTATAAATACAACTTTTTGAAAAATGCCTAAATACTAAATAATTCTAAATATACTCAGAGCCTTCACCAAACATATGCTATTGAAGACCCAAATATATATATATATATACACACATATACATATACATATATATATATATATATTCTTACCACATTGCTCAATGTGATGTCATATTAAATCCAGAAAAAGAAGTATATTTCCCCCTTTTTCTAGTTTGTTTCTGGATGGTTAACCAAGGATACAATAAAGTGTGTTTATTCTAAAAGACCGTATCTCAAGTATCAGTAGTGGCAAATGATTCTTTATTTTTGTCATTTATAAGGTATGTTAGTTTTTTGGGGGGCAATAGAAGATAACTAATTGGCACTTTTTTGATTATTTTTTAAACAGGACAGAGATTACGTCTGCCGTCAGATGTCTTTCTGCTTGACTGAACTACACCTGTGGTCTTTGAAGAATACCTTACACATTGAGGGTAAATGAGCTCTGGCTCAATTTCAGTTTTTTCAAATATGTTATACCATTATAAATAATAGCTTAGAGTCTGGATTCTGTACCTCAGTGATGTTCTTTTCTTTATATTTAATGAAAGACTGGTTAATGGAAAAACAATTCCTTTTAATTATTTATTGACTTTTTTAAAATTTGAGTTTAATTTTTAGTTTTGAAAATTTTTATTGGTCTAATTTTTTTACTTTTTTATTTATTTATTTGAGAGGCAGAGAGATAGTGACAGAATTTTTTTTTAAAGATTTCTTTCTTTATTTGAAGGTCAGAGTTACAGAGAGAGGGAGAGATAGAGAGAAATCTTCCATCTGGTGATTTATTCCCCATATGGCTACAGTTGCTGTGGCTGGGCCAAGCCAAAGCCAGGAGCCTAGAGCCTCCCCCAGATTTCCCATGTGCTGTGGGTGGTGGGGGCCCAAGCACTTGGGCCATCCTCTGCTGCTTTCTCAGGCACATCGGCAGGGAGCTATCTTGGAACTGGAGCAACCAGGACTCAAACCAACACCCATTTTGGGTGCTGGCACTTTAGGCAGTAGCTTTACCTGCTGTTTCACAGTGCTATCCCCAGAGAACTCATCTTCTGACTCAGTCTCCAAGTGTGCACAACAGTTAGGACAGGGCCAGGGCAAAACCAGGAGCAAGAAACTCAATCCAGGTCTCCCACGTGGGTGTCAGGGACCCAAATATATGAACCATCATTAGCAGGAAGCAGGAATCAGGAGTGAAGCTGAGACTCAAATTCAAGCACTTTGATATGGGGGCATCTTAATTGCTAGCACAAAAGCCTACTTCTTGTTTCCTCTTAAGTTACATATGTGTTCAATTTTTTCTTGGGATTATTCATAATAACTGATTTTACATTCATAAGTATTTACAAGCTAGGTAATTATAAAGGAGTTTTTATATCATATTAAAGTGACATTCCAAACATATGGCTAAGATGTACAATTATATTCATATGTTCTCTGTTTCACATTTCTTTGGGGGTAATATATGTTTTCTTTTTTAAAATGTTTATTTTATTTATTTGAAAGACAGGAGTTACAGAGAGAGCTAGAAATAGAGAGAGAGGTCTTTGATCTGCTGATTTACTCCCCAGATGGCCACAATGGCCGGAGCTGCGCCGATCTGAAGCCGGGAGCCAGGAGCTTCTTTAGGGTGAGAGACTTGGAGGAAGCTCCTGGCTCCTGGTTTTGGATTGGTCTACCTCTAGCCATTGGGACGATTTGGGGAGTGAACCCAAATATCTCTCTCTCTCTCTCTCTCTGTGTCTGTAACTTTCCTTCTCAAATAAATAAATAAAATCTTTAAACCCCTACCCCCCATTTAAAACTAAGATAGAGCATCTGTTATGAAAAGTACACATATTGTAAGGGCGTATTGTAGATGCACCTATAAAATCACATTTCAGGTTAAGAAATAAAACATTATCTACATCTGAGAAGCTAAACTCATGAGTTTTTCCATTGAATCCTTATTAAATATTTCCAGTCTAACTAGTAGTCATAAATTGCATTCTGTGTCTCAGTTAATGGCATAATGAATAAAAATAAGTACAGTAAGTACACATGATTGACTGTTTTGAAAAACGATATGTAAAATATTAGTTAAAGCAGTAATTAATGTGTTTTTGTGGTTTTATTCAATTAGGAGGAAGTCTGGAGCAGCCAGTCGCTAGGGGGCAGCCTTACTGCTTCCACTTCTTTCAAGACAGTTGTATCCTCCTTATGTTAGTTAACAGTTATTTTGCATGGAAGAAAACAAATGTTACTTCAATGAAAGAAATATTTCATTATTCATAGATATGACAAAAATTGACAAAATTATTTTGTACTCCCTGTATTTAAATTTTAAGAACAGATTCCTCGGTTAAATCAGTCTCAACATCTGGGAAGCCTAGCTTTGCTGTTTAAGTAGCCCCAGCAGAGTATCCGAATTTGAATGGGTTTGGAAGGCTTTTTGAATCTAAACAAGTTTCAGATAATAATTTATCCATACCTTCCTCTAATCCTCCCTTTCTTTCCTGCAGATTTCCCCCAAACGCTGTAGGATGGGAACTAGACTTTTGAGCTATAAATTGGAGAAAAGAAAGCCACAGCTTGGAATCCAACAGTTAGGGCATTTTCTTCCATCCACTGATTTCATTTGGCATTGCTTAGTGGCAGTTCCTTTTGGTAGCGCCCTGTGAAAAATATCAGAGGAAGTGTGAAAGAGAAAACTTGGTCTTCCTTGATTTCAGTTCTTTACTAATCTTTCCCTCATGCCATTCTAGTTTTGTGTAAATCTTTTTTCATTAGACTGATAAACTTTCCAGTTTCTGCATATCCCTAGAATAGATGAACCCATGTCCAGATGCTTTTGAGCTATTTTATTTCTAGTAACATAAGGAGACTGTTTCTTCTCTCCTCCCTACCCTTCCCCCCAATATAATATGGTTTGGCTTCTTATTCTCCAGAGCTTTTTATCATAATTTAATGTTATTTCTTCTTTTCTATAGATAGAGACATCGGGATCTACCAGTATTATGACAAGAAAGATCCATCAGGTAAAGTGCCTATTCTATTCAATTAATTTCTTATAAACTAAATATTCTAAAGTGTAAAATATTGACCATTAAAAACCACATTTTTGTGAACTTTAGATAAATTCTTGAATTTTAAGAAAAGTAACTTCAGATCTTTAGAAAAATGCTGAGGGTTGATATCTATCTGTTCTGTATAAAATAAAGCAATATTGATAAAATATGGTAGAAGAAGATGAACATTTTTATTGTACTGCTGATGAGGCTGATAACAGGATAGTCTCTTCACGTTTATTTATTGGTGTCCCAGTAGAGGGCATTGTTAATGCGTGGGACCCACTGATGCTGGCCTCCCGGATCCTCACCTGATATCTGAAATAGGCATTTCTGAGTGAATGATCAATTTTCTTTATCTGATTAATCCTGTTAATCCCAGAAGTTTTATGATGGGCCAAAAGGTCTTTCTAGCTAGAGTTACTTCCTGTTTTGGTCTCTGTTGAAGTGGGGCTTGTGTGAGCATTCTGTGTGCTTAGCTTGGTAGTTAATAGGCCGGCTTCATGGTTCTGATGACAGACTGAAGCAGCTTCTGTTCTGGGCTCGGTTGCAGTTCCCTTCTCTATCTGATGAGATTGGAAGCTCAGGATATTGGCCCACCTGTTGTGCTACGTAAGCCTCTTCAGTGCAAATTTAAGAAATACTTTTATGAAATGAAAATATCCAAATTGTGACATTTTTCCCAACTCTCTTAAAGTTGAATAGATTAATTCCAGCAATGTATGTAATAGTACATTTTATATATATATACATATATATAATGTATATTATATATACATATATATATAATACAAATAATTCCTAATTTTTGTCTTCTTTTCATCTCCTCTGCCATAATATCAGCGACAGAGCATGGTAACTTAGAAGAAAAGCAGAGGCTGGCAGAATGTAAGCTTGCTTTATGTGTTTTTGGATTATAAAATTGGAAAGTTCAGTGTTTTAAAATGTTCTGCTTTTTGCACAAATAGGGAACTTCTTATAATTACAAATTACCATTCTTTAGGGATATAAACATAACAGTAAGAATTATAGTTTTTAGATCTTTGTCATTTAGACTGTTGAACTCTATCAGTTTTGGTAAGATATGCTTATGTAAACCCAAATCTCTGTTATTAACTATATTTAATATATTTTAAAAAAGTACCATGCTTAAATTCTGATAATATTTATTTATTCATATTTTGCCTGAATTGCTAATGTTTGCCCATTTTAAGAATATAAAATTTGAAATATCTATGTTAGCACTTTAGTCATTTTTGTCTTTTTTGTTCTCAGATATATGTCAAATATATATAATATGTCTATGATGTAGTATGGTTTTAATGACTTTAAGTTAAATGTAATTTAAGATTTTTATATGGAATTCAGCTGGAGTTGAAAATCCTACTTGCTCTCTTGTTTTAAATGGCTGAAATGATGTTTAGATTTTTAAAATACTGTATTAGTGGCTGCAACACAGATTTTAAAGTTTATACACATTCTGTACATATCAGAATTATGTTTATATAACCAGTTTAATTTGCTGAATTGAGATATATAATATTTCTACTCTGAAATGTAAATATCCGTCTATATATGAGGAATCCTCATGAGGTTCATGGAAAATGCATATTATGAAAAACCTGCATGGATTTCAAAGTTTTTTGTATCAGATGATCTTGTCTTTTAATTTTACTTTTCCTTGAACTATTTGAAGGACCCTTAGTTATTGCACACACAACACACACATACACATACACTCTCATATATACATACACATATATATAAAACTCTTATTTGGAATTATTGGTTAAGAGACTCCAAAGCAAAATTAATTTTTCTGATAAAATAGTATAATGAGTTTAGCATTTTACTAATTTTAAAAGCAGAACTATTTTCAGTTTATTTTAGGTTAACATTGTTACTGTGCTAAATAATTTGATCTTTCAATTAAATTTATTTAAAAAGAGCTTTTCATTTATAAATTCTCATCGAATCTATAGAGTATTATTCTAAATTTAAAAGAGAATTTTTAGTTCCAGTTGAAAACTTGAATTTTCCTCAGATTTTCCCCTTAGTTTTATTATATGATGCTTTGATACTCAATTTAAAATTCATTTTTATGTATCATTTTTGTATTTTATTTCTTTTCTTACAATATTTTTATTCATGAGCGTTTTCACATCTGAGTAGGCCACTTGGAGAATTTGGAATTTCTTTTTTATTGAACATTGAATTATTTACATGAAAAAGTTGGTTCAGTGGTAAAGAATGGGTCATTTACCAATAATTATTACTATATTCACAGGCCTACCAAAATTTCACAGAGATTCTCTAAGCCTTGTTGGTTGTCATCATAAAATTATGATCAGGGAGATTGTTGTGTGGTAAAAATTCTGTTCCTGTGACAAAGCTTTTCAAGAGGTTGTCATTTGATGATAGAAATGAAGCCCACTTCCTCTCAATTATGGAGGTGTTTTATTTTAATCTTCCTAAGGCACACTGCTAAGCAGAGTTTCCTTTTTTAAATCATGTTTAACTAACTGTAGTACATGTTTTATTTGCCAGCCCGAGATTATCCTTGGACGCTCAAAAATAGACGACCAGACAAACTTCGAGACTCACTCAAAGAGTTGGAGGTATCTTTCAAAAAGTTTCAAAAATGGCAACAAACAAATCTGTTTTAAAACATCTTTCAACAGCTTTAATTTTCATAAAGGATCAACTCTCATGGTGATGATAGCTCTGCTTTTGTCCAGTGAAGAGTTCCAAAACAGTTGCATCTTTGTGTGGCATGTTGATTTTTTTTTTCTTTTGCTTGTGAATTAGAAGCACTTTAACTATGATGACAATGTGTGTAGCCAACTGCACTCTCTCTTTTACTGTTGTCTTTCAGGAGCTGATGCAAAACAGTCAGTGTGTGCTGAGCAAATGGAAGAACAAATATGTCTGTCAGGTAAAATGGTTTGACAACCTTTTGCAGTGTTTAACCAATGGAGCTGAAAACTATGTAGTAATTGATGTTCTTGTGTTATGAAAGGTAATGGAAAAAAATTTTTAGGAGTGGATATTTCATAGTTTGAATGCTAGTCATTCTGAAACTAATATTAGACAGATTGACACAAGCCATCAGTCAGTGTAGTTGTACCAATATACTATAAATAGCTATAAAAATCTTCAAAATTTTTTAGTTTGAATTTGTAAGAATGTTTTATTAGATGTTAACTACCATATATTGAGTCATATTTTGAATAAAGAAGGAACCACAGGACAAAAGGTATTTTGGCATGCCACTCTTGAAGGCATTTGTAAAAATCATGCTTATGGAATTCAACAAGCTGATTAGAGTGAGACTTAATACAATGGACATTTGTTCGTATTTTTTGAGCCTTCTGACCTGCACTGTTAAATATGGTAGCACTAGTCACATATAGCAATTTGAGTAATTAAATAAAATTTAAAATTCAGTTTCTCAGTTACGCTGGCCACATTTTAAGTGCTTAGCATCCACATGTTATCATAGTGTACACTGCAAAATATTGCTGTTGTAAAAAGTTATGTTGGACAGTACTGCTGGGGCCTAGGCAAGGGGAACTAAATATTGAATGGGCCTAGATTCAGAACATGATTAGGACAGAATAATTAGTGAACATTCATCACAAAATAATAAACATGCCTTGGATTTTTCTTATAAGCCCAGAAATAATATTTGCCTAGAAAAAAATTTGTTTGTGATAAAAAGATAATCATTAGTCATCCATGAAATTGATGTTTTATCAGTACTACTACTAATTATAACTGATCTCTGTAATCCTATGTTCCATATCAATTTAAATTCTTATTTACAGCATGACTTATTTTATGCTTAACTATTCTCATTTGCAATGTAGGCCCACATTTCTATCCATGAATTGCAACATCACATTTGTAGTAATTATAAGCATCTTAATCTGTCTTGAATATAGACTGTCATTTTAGTGGATTCTTGTTTTTTCTCATTTTTTGTCTAAATTAGTCTATCTTTACTCATGGAAATATTGAGTTACCTTCCCTCTTGGAATGTATTTACTTTCCAGAGACTATGTACAAAGCTGAATTAATATTTTTAGAAACATATTACTTCCTAAATTCACTTTAAAATGCTGTCCCAAAGAGTGGAATGATTTTAAAATCATAGTTTATTTGCATAAATAATTAAGTTTTAACTCAGTTTTAAAACTTGAATGCAAAATATACTCCAGAAAGTTTCAAACTTATGTAGATCAACTTGTGGTTCTTAATGCTATTGCTCACCTTAAAAACAGACTCAGAATTATTTGACTGTAGGGCAAGCCTGCCACCTATAGTAAGAGGTGTGTCTCATGGCCTCCACCCTTACTTTCACTCAGGGTAAGTTGGAACATGTCAGGCATCTTAAAATATGTGATAATCATCCCAATAGACAGTTCTTTTTAGATAGATTTTATTACATTTTAAATTAATAGCAGGTTTGGTTATATGTCCTGTAGGAGAAATGTTGAGGAATGGTATCTCTCACTATTGAGTTAATTCAACTCAGAAAAAGCATTTTCATGACAGAATCTTATACAAAATTACTTTTGTGATGTACAATTATCTGACAATATTGAATATTTAGGCTACTGTATCAGTGAGTCTGCTGTTGACATTTCCAACAGGACTTACCCCTTTTTAGATTTTGTAATACTTTGTACTTTATTTCTGTAGTGAATAAGATATTCCTAAATATAGATCTTATACTCCCAGAACATTCTTGATGTGTTATATTTTAAGAAGTTAGCTTCACCTCCATCCTGCCCACAGGTCTGGATCTATCCCCACAACTTTAAAGCCTTTGACACATCTACTAACATTATATATTCACTTTTTTCAGTTTCTAGATAGAACTGTTAGCTAAGTTCTCTAAAAATGTAAGTGAGTTCTATTCCTGAAGACCTCTTGTATCAAACTAAATTTAAAAAGTGATGTTTAAGGTAATTTTTAGCATAATAATCCCTTAACCCTTTCTGTTAAATTTGGTGTAAATCTTGTAAAATTTTCCTTAGTTATGAGTCTTCCTTTTGTGTATCCCACTCCAGTTTCGTGGTTCCAAAGATAATACATGCTTAAGTTCTGTTAGTGATTTCCCCATAAATTTATCCCTACAATGGCAGCAGTTGACCACAACATAATGTTTTATAACTCTTACAAAAGGAGAGAACAATATGTTGGTGCTTTTGCATTCAGACTCCTCCATTTTTTAATTAGGCCACTCCTCTATTAATGTAAATTTTTTAGTTCCAAAAAATGGTAAATATAGACTTTATGGAATTTACTTTAATTATCTTCTTTTTAAGGAATTTCATTTTTTTAAGAGGTCCAATTGTTTAGAAATGAGAGAAGTAATTACAACAACATAAAAAATTTTAGAGGATGTAATCTGAGCTTGGAGTCTTTCTCTGAAAAATGAGTACTTAGAGGTTGTCATCATTACTAAAATTTAGTTAATTGTTCATCCAATGATCTCTAAATTATACAGTTTAAAAAAAATTCCTTCCACTTGTAAATCCAGAGCAGATTACAAGTCAAGGCCTACCTATACATTTGTTTGGTATACAAATTATATGTTCAGATTCTTTCTTCAGATGATGCCTATTCATATTTTGAGATGCATTAAAAGATATGAGATATAAGTTAAAATTTTAGCTTTATTAGATATTAAATATATTTGTCAATTTTTTTGTTTGGGTTTCTGAAAATAATTTCATTAAGAGAAAAAATTTAATACTTTGCTGTTTTGAAATACTTAAGCCATTTTTACAAATTATTCTTAGGGAATAATAACTTCAGCATTAAAACACTATTATTCATCACCCTGATAGAATTTTAAAATTCTGTAAAATAGGTTTTTTTTAAAAAAAGATTTATTTACTTATTTGAAAGTCATGGTTACAGAGAGAGAGAGACAGGGAGAAACAGAGATCTTTCATCTGCTGGTTCACTCCCCATGTGGCTGCAATAGCCAGGGCTGAGCCAGATGGAAGCCAGGAGCCAGGAGCTTCATCTTGGTCTCCCATGTAGCTGCAGGGGAAACAAGCACTTGAGCTATTTTCCACTTCTTTTCTGAGGGCATTAGCAGGGAGCTGGATTGGAAGTGGAGCATCCAGGACATGATCTGGCATCCATATTGGATGCCAGTGTAGTGTAGCAGTTGGTGACTTTACCTGCTATATTATAACACCAACCCCAAGTATTGTGTTTTTATTCACATTCATATTTTCAGATTATTGCAGTTTAAACCAATGTTATCTTTAAACATAGGTGTAACCTCAAGTATGTTGATTTTAGATTAAATTATTTGAATCATGTATGTGCATTTAATTATAAAAGTGAATAATATAGTCAGCTGTACCCTGGTTTCTGTCCATAACAATTCGAGATTTCCAGGCACAATGTTAAAATGCCAAGTAAAGATAGTTTCTTTTTTTAGTTCTTGGAATGAAATATTTGACAGGCTATGTGAAAAATACAAATTATTTTCCAAGCTTGTCAGGTAAATTATGACTTTATGGAAGTCATTTGATCACAGTTTTCTTAGTTGTAGAACCTGATCTTTCTTTTCTTCAAATTATGTGGAAATCAATTTAATTTCCTTATAATAGTGGACAAACCATGGCATCAAGATATAGCTATTAGTGATAGAATATTACTTACATGAAACATATCACACAGTATTTATTGCCTATAGGAATCACTAAGGAAGTGTAAGGCATGAACTGAATCCCCAGCATAACCTATTCAAGAATAGTCATGTGAAATCACTAAGACGCTATTGAGTGCTAAATTATGTGACACCAAGTAAAAAGATGGTAGAGATTTACAGAAAGCATAGGCACAGTATAATCTGAAATAGTTAAGAAAAATTTTGCAGAGAAGTCACAATTTTACTTGGACATCAAGGCAGTTATAAAATTTAGTGAAGCTGAGGAAAAGTTTTCCAGGAGAAGGAATTGAATCAACTGAGATGGGAACTCTGTATGGTAGTGAAGAGGTAGGCCCATCTGGGAATCAGTGGTTCATGTTGACGAACAAAGTCCTGGGGCCGGTGCTGTGGCACAGTGGGTTAAAACCCTGGGCTGTCATGCCAGCATTCCAAATGAGCACCAGTTTAAGTTCTGGCTGCTCCATTTCCAATCCAGCTCCCTGCTATTGCACCTGGGAAAGCAGCAGAAGATGGTCCAAATGCTTGGGCCCCTGCACCCACATGGGAACCCTGAAAGAAGCTCTGGGTTCCTGGCTTTGGATTGGCTCAGCTCCAGCCATTGCAGCCATTTGAGGAATGAACCAGCAGATGGAAGACCTCTCTCTCTCTCTCTCTCTCTCTCTCCCCCTCCCCATCTCTCAAATAAATAAATAAATAAATTGGATTTTGTTCTTTTTTTTTTTTTAATTTTAAGTTTGAAAGGTTATTTGGAGCTTCCTTGTGGAGGCTTTGAATGTCACACTAAGATATTGAAACATTTTCCTGTAACATTGTGGACACTTACACAAGAGGGTATACTATAAAAATTAGACTTAAAGAAGGATTAGCCAGGCAGTGGGATATAGAGTACACCTGAGAACCAGAGGCAGTAACATTTTCAGTTTAAGAACAGTGAAGATAAAGTGCAGAGTTTTGAAAGCCAGTGAAGAAATTTAGAATGGTAGATAAAAAGTTTACTAGTTTTCACATTAGTTACATATGGAATATCTAAAGATAATTAAATGATATTATTGGAAATATGGAATTGGAGGGAAAGGTTGGAGTTGAAAATTTGGGACTAAACAGACAAGGAGGTGGTATTAAAGCCATGCCAACTGGTGCTGGTGTTATATGATGTGGTGGGTTCTGCCTGGGCTCTGATTCGGCTTCCTGCTAATGTGCGCCCTGAGATGCCATGGATGGTGGCTCAAGTGGGG